CCTCCCCCCACTTCCCCCCCCTCCCCCCTGCCCCCCGCCGGTGGGGGAGAGACACCGTCACTCCAATTCCCCCCCCATCCCTCTGCCACTCGCCGGTGGGGGAGAGACACCCTCACTCCAATTCCCCCCCCATCCCTCTGCCACTCGCCGGTGGGGGAGAGACACCGTCATTCCAATTCCCCCCCCATCCCTCTGCCACTCGCCGGTGGGGGAGAGAGCCCCTCACTCCACTTCCCCCCCCATACCCCTGATGCCGCTCCCCCGGAGCTGGGGGCCAGCCTCGGAGCAGATGAGACAGCTGTGAGGGAAGAGGCGCGTAGTGCGTCCAGGGCCCTCGCCGTTCTGTGGGCTCAGAGCCAGACTGGGGAGCTGCCCACTTGTGACCATCGTTGCCTGAGCCCGTCCCATGGGGGCGGAGACACCCCAGTGTTACTGGCGTTGCCTGGGCCAGGCACCAGGGGGCTCAGAGCCAGACTGGGGAGCTGCCCACTTGTGACCATCGTTGCCTGAGCCCGTCCCATGGGGGCGGAGACACCCCAGTGTTACTGGCGTTGCCTGGGCCAGGCACCAGAAGGGGTAAGAGCTGCGTGTTCACTCAGTGCGTGGGGGGACGCACAATTGCCACCCCTGAGCCACAGGCAGTTCTCCCTTCTGTCTGGGCCGTGCTGCGGGAAGGCCCTACTCTGCCATCTCACCCCATGGGCCAGGAGCCCAGTTGTAGCCTCGCGCCCTGCTGCCCAGCAGCACCCCCCCACTCCCTCCATCCCCCCCGCCAGTAGCCCCCTACCTCCCTCCATTCTCCACACACCACAGCCAGCAGGTCCACACCTACCCTGCCCTGCAGCGTGTCTGGTCCCGGGGACTGGTCTCTGTACCCCGCGCTGTCAGGAACTCCACAGTGCCCGCATAGCTGCGGTTACACAGCACGGCCTTGAGCCCTGGGGGAGCAGGGGGCAGAGGGGTCAAGGCCCCCACACAGCCTGCTGCAGGCAGAGCTGTTCTTCCCCTGCACCCAGGACACACTGTCCTGCAGCCCTCCCCTCCAGCCGCCTTGATCTGTCCCCCGGGGTGCATCGCACAGAGCCCTGGGCCTGGACACCCTCTGTGCTCCATTCCCACCCCTGGGGGCTCCGGCTGCGCCCTCGGGACACACCTGAGAAGTCATAGCGCACAGGGCCCAGCCAGCGATGCTGCTCACTGTCACGTACCACGTCACCATAGAAACCATAACCCACCAGCGAGACCGCGTAGCGCTGCAGCCGTCCCCGGTGGTGCACGCTGCACACGTCCAGCGGCTGGCTGTCCCCTGGGGGAGAGGGTGCATGGGGCCTCTGAACAGAGACCTAGCTCCTCCTAGCTCAACCCACCAGGCCCTCCCAGAGCCAGGGAGAGAACCCAGGGCTATGTCTACACTGGCAGGCCTTGCGCAAGAACATATGCAAATGAGGCGTGGGCTGCCCCTCTCCCATCCCACCAGACTCTTCCTCTCAGCGAGAGGAGATAACCCAGGTGTTCTAGTCCCCAGCCCCTGCTCTACCAATGATGATGTGCAGGGCAGAGGTGACGGGGTCACTGGTCCCCACTGAGGCGAAGCAAACGCAGTCTGTGGAGCCTGGCTTGGGAGAAGAGGGTGAGTCATTTCCTGAGGCCTGCTGAGCTGCTGCCCTCCCCCCCCCAACCCGAGCCACCTCACAGCCACCCCCCTCACCTCCAGCCCCTCCCCTCTCCCTGCCTGCACCTTGTCCCCCTACAGCTCCCCTCAGCCCGTCTGCCCTCCACAGCTCCCTTGAGCCCCAGTCCCTCCCCGTCCCTCGCTAATCTGCATCCCTCCTCAGTCTCAGCCCCTCTTCCGCCCTCACCTGCCCCTTCAGCCCCTTCCTGCCCATCCCTGTGCCCTCTGCAGTCCCCCACAGGCCTTCCTCCACCCCCACTCCTCAGCTCTCTGGGCATCCATCCCTGCTGCCCCCTCATCCCCAGGTTCAGCTATCTCTACCAGCCCCCTCACTCTCCCTGCCCTCAGAGCTCTGCACTCCCCCACCTGCGGGAATGATGCCAATATGGAGCCGAGGGGGCAGGAGCTGAGCCATAGGGTCGTCCTCAGAAATCCCGGCCTTCGTCTGCGTGCGGGAGATGAGCGCGTGCATCACCTCGTTAAATGTCCCGTCGCCCCCCACGCACACCAGCCTGGGCAAGAGAGCAAGCTGTTCCTACTCTACCCACAGTAGAGCGGAGGGGGCAGCAGCATGGGGGTGGCTGTGGTGGGGAGACAGGGCTACCAAGAGGTATGTGGGGGTGGGGAGACAGAGCAGCCCAGAACGTATGTGAGGGAGGGCAGCCTAGGGATTATGGGGGCAGCCCTGGGTATATGTGGGGGAGGGCAGGGCAGCCCTAGAGGTACATGGGGTGGGGGAATGTAGCAACCCAGGGGTACATGAGGGGGTTGGGTGCCCCATACCAGGTGGAGCTGGGGGCAGGGCAGGGGTTTCTCACCCATCTAGGTCACTTAGGTCTCGCTGCAGGATCATGTCCCCTGCCTCGTGGGGTCGCTGGGTCTCTGTGGGAAAGTGGGGGAAGAGGGGATGAGTGAGGTGAGTGATAGCAGCGGGAGCAGAGAGTCTATCGTGGGGGGGGCATGTTGGAGGAAGAGTGGGAGCTCAGTGGGTGAAGGAGCGGTGGGGGGGGCATGACCTTCATTAACAAACTAGGGAAATACAACCTTGATGGGGCTGCTATCAGGTGGGTGCATAACTGACTGGATAATCATTTTCAGAGAGTAGGTATCCATGGTTCACAGTCATGCTCTAAGGGTATAATGAGAGAGGTTCCGCAGGGGTCAATTTTGGGACTTGTTCTGTTCAATAGCTTCATCAACTATTTAGATAGTGGCACAGAGAGTACGCTTGCTTACAAGTTTGCAGATGATCCCAAGCTGGGAGGGGTTGCAAGTGCTTTGGAGGATGGATCATAATTCAAAATAATATGGACAAACTGGAGAAATGGCCTGAGGTCAATAGGATGAAGTTCAATAAGGACAAATACAAAGTGCTCCGCTTAGGAAGGAACAATCAGTTTCTCACACACAGAATGGGAATCAACTGTCTAGAAAGGAGCCCTGCAGAAAGGGGACTAGAGGTAATAGAGAAGCACAAGTTAAATATGAGTCAACAGTGTGTACTGTTGGAAAAAAACATGATTCTGGGATTAGCAGAGGACCTGCATTAGCATGAGTGTTGTGAGCAAGACACGAGAAAGAATTCTTCCGCTCTACTCTGTGCTGATTAGGCCTCAATTGGAGTATTGCGTCAAGTTCTGGGCACCACTTTTCAAGAAAGATGTGGAGAAATTGGAGAAGGTTGAGAGAAGAGCAACAAAAACTATTAAAGATCTAGAAAATGTGACCTATGAGGGAAGATTGAAAGAATTGGACTAGTTTAGTTTGGAATAGAGACGACCGAGAAGGGGACACAATAGCAGTTTTCAAGTATCTAAAAGAGCGTAAGAAGAAGGAGGAAAACATTATTCTCCTTAACCTCTGACGATACAACAAGAAGCAATGAGCTTAAATTGCAGCAAGAGAGATTTAGGTTGGACATTAGGAAAAAAATCCTACCTCTCAGGGTGGTTAAGCACTGCAATTTATTCTAGGGAGGTTATGAAATCTCCATTATTGGAGACATTTAAGAGCAGGTTAGACAAACACCTACCAGGGATGGTCTAGAATAGATGGTGCTTGGTCCTTCCCTGAGGGCAGGGGACTGGACTCAATGACCTTTCGAGGTCCCTGCCGGTTCTAGTGTGCTAGGATTCTGTCGGAGGCACTTGGGGGGTGGGAGCTCTGTGGGAGAGGCCATAGAGGGTGCAGGCTGGGAACACTTGGGGGATGAGAGCTTTGCAGAAGGGATGATAAAGGGGGGCAAGTCAGGGACACTCGGAGGATGGGAGCTCAGCGGGAGGGGCTGTAGGGGGGGGGTCACATCGGGGGACTCACCTACTACCTCTGTCTGGATCCCTGCCAGAGCAAAGAGCCCAGCCACCTGATCCTGATAAATCTTGCTGGCGCGGCACCGCCCCCCCACAGGGTTCACAAAGACCAGCAGCTTCTTGGGGCGCGTGACCCCTGGGGCAAAGAGAGTGTCACCTAGGGGCCCAGGTCCCTGGCTGCCCACATGTCCTGCAGGAGCACCCCCCGCTGCCCACCTCTGCTCACCCAGAGCAGCTGCTGTGAGTCCAGCCTGAGTCGCTGGCGCCCCAACCCACAGGGGGTCGCAGCCCCTGGGCCCATCATAGGGCGATCCCTTGTGCTACTGACCCTGGAGCATGGGCAGCCCCCTGCAAGCCCCAGTGACCCTCTGACTCCACAGCCTGCTCCAGCACCCCCCCATGGGGCTACTTACTTGTACCCCCTCCTGCCCCCTTACCTACCAGCCCCCCCTTACTGAACTTTCCCTCCCCTAATGACCAGCCCCCTCCCCTCCCCAGTACTGACCATGCAGCTGGATTCTGCGCTGCAGGGCGTCTACCCAGCGTGGGGCCAGCCCCGAGCCGGGGGGCACAGTGAACTCCAGGGTTGCCAGGCTCCAGCACTGTCGCTTCTCTCGCTGCACATAGGACACTGTGGGGATGTCCCCGCAGGACAGCTGGTCAGTCATCCCCTTAGCACCTGCCCCTCCCCTCCCCAGTACTGACCATGCAGCTGGATTCTGCGCTGCAGGGCGTCTACCCAGCGTGGGGCCAGCCCCGAGCCGGGGGGCACAGTGAACTCCAGGGTTGCCAGGCTCCAGCACTGTCGCTTCTCTCGCTGCACATAGGACACTGTGGGGATGTCCCCGCAGGACAGCTGGTCAGTCATCCCCTTAGCACCTGCCCCCCATTTGCCCTGTTCCCATTGGTCCCACCTGCCCCCATACCCTCCTGCCCTGTCCTGCTGCCCAGACCTGCCCCCTTACCCTCCTGCCCCAGCTCCCTTGTCCTGTCCTGTCCCCAAACCCATCTCTGTTGCCTGGAGCTGCCCTGCTCCCCTACATAAGAATGGTCGTACTGGGTCAGACCAAAGGTCCCTCTAGCCCAGTATCCAGTCTGCCGACAGTGGCCAGCACCAGGTGCCCCAGAGGGAGTGAACAGAACAGGGAATAACCAAGTGATCCCTCCCCTGTTGCCCATTCCCAGCTTCTGACAAACAGAGGCTAATGACACCATCTCTGCCCATCCTGTCTTACAGCCATTGATGGACCTAACCTCCGTTAATCTATCTAGTTTCTTTTTTTAACCCTGTTAAAGTCCTGGCCTTCACAACATCCTCTGGCAAGGAGTTCCACAGGTTGATTGTATGTTGTGTGAAGAAATACTTCCTTTTGTTTGTTTTAAACCTGCTGCCCATTCGTTTCATTTGGGGTGTGTCTAGACTACAGGGTTTTGTCGACAAAAGTGGACTTTCGTTGACAAAACTATACCTGCATCTACACTGCCACTGAGTTCTGTCGACATAACGTCGACAGAACGCAGCAGTTTTGTCGACGTATGTAAACCTCATTCTACGAGGAATAACGCCTTTTGTCAACAGAGTTCTGTCAACAGAAGGCGTTATTGCATCTACACTGTCCTTTGCGTCCACACTGTCATGTCGACAAAGCGGCTTGGCTTTGTCAACAGAACTGGATGTGGTCTAGACGCTCTTTGTCGACAGAAGCTTTGTCGACAGTGTCTGTCGACAAAACTTCTGTCAACAAAAGCCTGTCGTCTAGACATACCCTTGGTGACCCCTAGTTCTTGTGTTATGGGAACAAGTAGATAACTTTTCCTTAGTCACTTTGGCTATGTCTACACTCGTGGCTTCTTGCGCAAGAACATCTTGTGCAAGGGTTCTTGTGCAAGAAGTCTTGTGCGAGAAAACGTCCACACTGCCATGTGCACGCTGTGCTTTTGCGCAAGAGCTCCCATGGCACTGTGGACGCTCTCTTGCGCAAGAAAGCTCTGATGGCCATTTTAGCCATCAGGCTTTCTTGCGCAAGAAATCCCTGCCGAGCGTCCACACTGCCCTCTTGCACAAGAGCTCCTGCACAAGAGGGCTTACACCTGTTAAAAAAGAGTGTAACTCTTGCGCAAGAAGCCCTCTCTTACCACGCCATCCTGTAAATTTCCTTGCACAAGAGCAGGCGGGCAGTGTAGACGCTCTGCGGATTCTTGCGCAAGAAGTCGCAAGTGTAGACATAGCCTCTGTCTACACGAGCCATGATTTTATAGACCTCTATCATATCCTCTCTTAGCCTCCTCTTTTCTAAGGTGAAAAGTCCCAGTTTTATCAGTCTCTTCTCATATGGCAGCCATTCCAAACTCCTAATTATTTTTGTTACCATTGAGTGTATGTTTTCAGAGAACAGTCCACGATGACACCAACATCTCTCTCTTGAATAATAACAGCTAATTTAGTCTCATAATTTTGTAGATGTAGCTGGGATTATGTGCATTACTTTGCATTTATCAACATTAAAATTCATTTGCCATTTTGTTGTTCAGTCACCTAGTTTTGTGAGACCATTTTGAAGATCTTCATGGTTTGCTTTGTACAGAACTACCTTGAGCAGTTTCGTCTCATCTACAATTTTTGACATCTCACTGTTTACCCTTTTCTCATGATCATTTATGAATATGTTAAATAGGTTTGATCCCAGTATGGACCCCACTAGTTATCTCTCTCCATTCTGAAAACTACCCCTGTATTCCTACTCATTGTTTCCTCTCTTTTAACTAGTTATCCGTGCATAAGAAGACCTTCCTTCTTATCCCATGACAACTTCCTTTGCTTAAGAGCCTTTGGTGAGGGGCCTTGTCAAAAGTACACTATATCCACTGGATCTCTCTTGTCCACGTGCTTGTTGACGTCCTCAAATAACTCTTCTAGATTGGTGAGGCAGGATTTCCCTTTATAGAAACCATGTTGACTTTTCCCCAACAAATTAGATTTATCTCTGTGTCTGACAATTCTGTTCTTTACTATAGTTTCAGCCAGTTTACCTGGTACTGACATTAGACTTACTGGTCTGTAATTGCCAGGATCACCTCTAGAGCCCTTTTTAAAGCTAGGCATCACATTAGCTATCTTCCAGTCATTTAGTACAGAAGATGATTTAAAGGATAAGTTACAAACCACAATTAGTAGTTCTGCAATTTCACATTTGAGTTCTTTCAGAACTCTTGGATTGAATGCCATCTGGTCCCGGTGACTTGTTACTATTTAGTTTATCAATTTGTTCTAAAACCTCCTCTAATGACACCTCAGTCTGGGATAATTCCTCAGATTTGTTACCTAAAAAGAATGACTCAGGTCTGGGAATCTTCCTCGCATCCTCTGCTGTGAAGACTGAAGTAAAGTATTCATTTAGTTTCTCCTCAATGTCCTTATTGTCCTTGAGTGCTCCTTTAGCATCTTGATCGTTCAAGGGCCCCACTGGTTGTTTAGCAGGCTTCCTGCTTCTGATGTACTTTAAAAAGTATTATTACTTTTTGAGTTTTTGGCTAGCTGTTCTTCAGATTCCTCTTTGGCCTTCCTTATTCTATTTTTACATTTAATTTGACAGAGCTTATGCTCTATTTTCTTCACTGGGATTTAACTTCCATGTTTTCAATTATACCTTCTTCTCTCTCACTGCTTCTTCTACCTGATTGTTAAGCTACGGTGGCACTTTTTTCGTTCTCTTACTGTGTTTTTTAATTTGGGGTATACATTTAAATTGCACCTCTATTATGGTGTCTTTGAAAAGTGTCCGTACAGCTTGCAGGGATTTTACTTTTGGCACTGTACCTTTTTATTTCTGTTGAACTAACTTCCTCATTTTTGTGTAGTTCCCCTTTCTGAAATTAAATGTCACAGTGCTGGGCTGCTGTGTTTTTTCTCTCCACAAGGATCTTAAATTTAATTACATTGTGTTCATTATTTCCAAGCGGTCCAGCTATCTTTACCTCTTGAACCAGATCCTGTGCACAATTTAGGACTAAATCTAGATGGTGCTTGGTACTGCCGTGAGGGCAGGGGATTGGACTCAGTGACCACTCAAGGTCCCTTCCAGTTCTAACATTCTATGATTCTAAGAATAGCCTCTCTCTATGGCTATGTCTAGACTACATGGCTCTGTCGACGGAGCCATGTAAAATAGTTTATTCAGCATAGTCAAAGAAGCAGGGATTGAAATAATCCCTGCTTCATTAAAATAAAAATGGCCGCTGCACTGTGCCAACAATCAGCTGATCCGGCATAGTGTGACGGTCTAGAAGCCTTTGTCGACCGCTCCGGTAAACCTCATTACCCCCCAGCATCACAACCTGGTCTGTCCTTCTGATATGTTTTGTTCCCTAGTATTACAGTGTCCTATTGATTATCCTCATTCCACCAAGTTTCTCTGTTGCCTATTCTATTAATAACCTCCTTTAAAACGAGGCACTCTAATTCATCCATCTTATTATTTATATTTCTAGTGTTTGTATATAAGTACTTTAAAAACTTGTCACTATTTAGCTGTCTGCTATTATCTGATGTGATTAAATGGGACCTTTTCAGTTGACTGTTTCTCATCTGATCTTATTTATATCTTATAATCTTCCATCCACTCTTCTTTAGTAGGACAAAGAGAATCTCTATTAATAGACCCTCTCCTAAAGGATGTCTGTGTCTAATCTATGTGCTCTTCCACACTTGTCGGCTTTCCCCTAGCCCTTAGTTTAAAGACTGCTCCACAACCTTTTTAATATTAAGTGCCAGCAGTCTAGTTCCATTTTGGTTTAGGTGGTGCCCATCCTTTCTGATAGGCTCCCCCTATCCCAAGTTTCCCCAGTTCTTAATAAATCTAAACCCCTCCTCTCTACACCATCGTCTCATCCATTCATTGAGACCCTGCAGTTCTGCCTGTCTACCTGGCCCTGCTTGTGGAATGGAAGCATTTCAGAGAATACTACCATCGAGGTCCTGGATTTCAGTCTTACCAGCAGCCTAAATTTGGCCTCTAGAACCTCTCTCCTACCCTTCCCTATGTCACTAGTACCTACATGTACCACGACCACTGGCAAGTCACCATACAGTTCTCCCGATCATCACAAACCCAGCTATCTATGTTTCTAATGATTGAATCCCCCGTTACTGACACCTGCCCTTTCCTAATGACTGGCGTTCCCTCCCCTGGAGAGGAATCCTCAGTGCGAGAGGATCTCACAATATCATGTGGAAGGAGGGTCCCAACTATGGGAGTATTTCCCTCTGCTCCAGTTGAACGTTCTCCTTCCCTGAGCCGCTCACCCTCCTCCCCAGCGCAGGGGCTGCCTGACACTGTTCTATGGTGTCCTAGAAAGCTTCATCTATGGACCTCTCTGCCTCCCTTCACTCTGCAGCTCAGTCCCCTGGTCTCCAAAGCCCCTACAGGGTCTTTGAGAGCCAGGAGCTCCTTGCACCAAAAGCTCTCACATGCCCCCTGTCCACAGGGCAGGTGTCCTACATGCTGCCGCATTGGGTGCAATGAAGTGGATAATCAGTTCCCACTCTGCTGCTGGGCCCCTGCTGTTTGTACTCCTGCAGCTAATGCCTCCCTGCGCATGATTTTTTGTTTTGTTTTTTTAATCTGGTGGTTTTGGTTTTACTTTAGTATAAAGAATGTTAAGTATGTCTAGCCCCCTTCAGACTTCCCCTTTAAACTTCCTTGTTAGCTGCTTCTGTTCACTAGCCCTTGCCCTTCCCATCCCACTGCCAAACCTGCCCCCAAACCCATCCCTCCCTGGCCCCACACCTCTGTGCCCCAGGACTGCTGTCCTGGAAAATCCCACTGCCTGTCCCTTCTCCCATGACCCCCTGCCCTGGCCCAGACCTGCCCCAAGCCCATCTCAGCTGTCCGGCACGCCTCCCCTGCATCTTGCCCCAGCCCTAGTTCCCCATTCCATCCTGCTGCCAGGACCTGCCCCAAACACCCATCCCTCCCTGGCCCCACACCTCTGTGCCCCAGGACTGCTGTCCTGGAAAATCCCACTGCCTGTCCCTTCTCCCATGACCCCCTGCCCTGGCCCAGACCTGCCCCAAGCCCATCTCAGCTGTCCGGCACGCCTCCCCTGCATCTTGCCCCAGCCCTAGTTCCCCATTCCATCCTGCTGCCAGGACCTGCCCCAAACCCATCCCGGACCTGCCCCCCCTCCCTCCCATTACAGCCCCCTGCCCAGACCTGCTCCCTCACCATCCCGCTCCAGCCCCCTGCCCAGACCTGCCCCCCAAGCCCTTCCTGCTCCAGCTCCCCTGCCCTCCAAGCCCATTCCACTCCAGCACCACTGCCCAGACCTGCCCCCTATCATACTCCACCTGCCTGGAGCATCCCCCCTCATCCCACTCCAGCCCCGCAAGTCCCTCTATTGTTTGGAGCTGCTGCACCATCACCTTGTCCTTGCTGTCATCTCAGATGCTTCGGGACCTGGTTCACACCCCCACAGCCCCAGCCCTTTCCCCAGAGGGTCCTGGGGCAGAGATGTCCCTGCCCCTCAGCTGGCTCACCTGTGAACTGGTTTCCCTCCCCTGGGGGGGACAAGCTGGACCCACCCAGCTGCACCCCGACCATCTCGCCAACCGGGATGCAGAAGCTTTGGCCTGCAAGGGAGCAGGAGAGGAGTTAGCGCAGGATGCCTGGGCTCTCCCGGGTACAGGGATTTCATATGGTTACACCACTATTCAATTACATGCCTGGAGTGGGGGCTGGGAGCCAGCACTAGCACAAAGAGCCCAGAGGCCAGGGAAGAGCTGGGAGCCATGGGGGCGAGGGGGGTGGCTTAGAGCTGTCACCAGCTCAGCCCCCAGGCAGCTCTGACCAGCCCAACCAGTTATGCCACTTGCTGATGCATCCCAACATACTCTGGAGTCTGATGCCTGGGGCACATACAAACTGTGGCGCACAGCTGCTCTGGGCCTCAGGCCCCGGCATCCCCACCTCAGCCAGCTGTCTTCACTCTCAGCAGGCCTGCCTATTGAACAGGGTCCTTGGGCTCCCTGCCCAGCTCCGGGAAGGAGTGGGGGCTGGTGGCTTAGAACAGGGGGCTGGGAGTCAGGACACCTGGGTTCTAGATGGAACCACTTGCTGATAACATACAAATAGAACCAAAATGCTGCCTGTTAACAGAGCCAAACCCAGGGAAGACCCTGGCCTGCTACAACATCAGCTGAAAGCTCAATTTCCCCCCCCCCCCCCAGATATGACCCCTTGTCACAAAAGCCAGGGCCCCAGGAGAGTAGCTCTTTGTGCTCTACCTGCTCTGGGGCCTTGCACTGAAATTCTCCACTTAGCAGTGGGGGGTGGGTTCTGTTCTGATAGTGCCGTGCCTAGAGCACCAGGGCCATGGGGTTGCACTAGCTCCCAGCAAGCCTCCTGCTCCACAGAGCTCCTCCCTGGCCAGAGCGCAGGCATACCAATTCATCTGGGGAGACGGTCCCATATTGGCCCAAGCCCCTAATATTAGAGCAGGGGAGTCACCCTCCTCAGGAACCTGTTTTACAGCTATCCTCCTACCCCCCACACTGCCGGCTGATTTGGTTTTCAGACGGGTCCTTGAGCCTCTGCACATTTCAGCTGCTGCCTCCTGAGGTAATAAATTGCAGCCCATCCCAGGCTGCTGGGTTCCCCTGAGGACCAGCTACAGTACCGGAGTGTTGTAAAATCTGCAGCTAGGCAATTAACCCCCATTGCCCCGGCCCAGTCTCAGCCTCCCCCGGGAGAATTTGCAATGCCTGGATGCACATGCCAATACCAGCCCTGCTGCGGGAACCCCGGGGGCCAGAGCCAAACCCACAGGCATCAGAACTCGGTGCCGGAAACAGGAGAGAAGTCAGGGAATGGGGCATGGGGGTCCCAGGCCAGGGAGAAAGAAAAATGCATGGCCAGTACAGCGCACAGCTGGTGCCAGGCTGGTCAGACCGGCCCAGCAGCTAGGGGCCGCCCCCCTCTGGGAACATGTGGGGTGGGCAGCTGGAGCCAGGTGCCAATTGAATGTGAGCTCCCACTTTGGGCTATGGCTAGTCATGTGATGACTATTT